TTTTTTTTTTTAATCTTCTTAAACAAACACTAGTTGTTGCAACGATAAAATTTTATTTGAGACTGAGCCTCAAATATATTAAATACAGACTGCATTTACGTTTGATTTCACGTATCTATGTCAGATTTTTATACATTTGTTAAAAATTATAAAAATGTAAGAATGCATAACAATGCACGTAATATTTAAAAATATATAAAATATTCAAAGTATACAATACTCGTGATACTTAAAGTATGAGAGTCATTTCCGTTTAAATTCTAGTCTTCTAAAAATGTGCAGAAAAATTCGAATTTGCACAAAACACCCGCTAATCGTAATTAATTCACTTCTATTACCCTTAACCATTATCTCTATCTAAAAACGAAATAAGAGTGAGACACGGAGAAAATTAGTGAGCTTCTATTATCCGAACGTGATTTTGTTGTACTATATAATTTGTTGTTTCGTCGTTTGTTTTTTTTTTTTTTGCTTTCTTCTTCGATTGTTACTTTCCCATTGCTGTGAGACAATCACAGGGAGAACGTCTGCTGGAGTTGCGTTTCCCGTTGCAAGGGCAGAACGTGCGAAATAGTCAGCATCGAATTTTCAAGGGAACTGGCTCGCGAAAGATCGTTTGAGGATTAGCAGCCGCTTTCATGGCTGAAGTGCGCAGGATTAAATATTCCTTAGACCCGCTGGTTTTACCCTGCAAACGTCGGAATCTGTATATTGAGTAAAGTAAATCGGGTTTCCCGCGATTTGATATTCTTGAGGCTTGTTCCCGTTTCCCTATCATCCTGTAAACCAGGATAAACCTTCTAAAATTATAATGTCCGCGTCGAATAGCTAACGAGTTCTATTAGAGTCGCTGGCAAAACTGTCCTACTTACATTTCGTAAAATAACATACCCAGCATACCAGTTCGAAGCCTCGAATTATTCTATCGAATAAACATCGTTAAATCGTTCGTCTGTATTCCTTCGATACACGTACGAGTCACAGTACAGTACGAATTGATTCAAGCGAGCACAATGGAGATACACGAAGAAGAATCTGTTCGACGAGGGCCTAAATGAACAGCTCGTTTCGTTTGCCGCCAGGAATTTGCTAATTTGCTCACGTAGCGTGAACGATTGAAGCGCGTAAAGCAGAACGGTTAAGTCATTGCTCGATAAACGTCAGGCAGGTATCTGTTGCATACAAAGTCTGGCTATAGTTCATTCAACGATTGTTGAACCCATGGATTGGTGACACGTTCCAAAAGCGTGCGACGCATCGTGTGCGTCACGATTGTTATCAGTTGCCGTTATCAGTCAGCATCGCGAAAACAGTTGAATGAACGAGATCATATAGAAGGACTATCGCCGAGAAATTAAGTCGCGTAAAATTAGAAATTAAGATAAAGTAAACCGAAAGATGAATTGACAGGATCCTAATATCGAAATTTCGGCATGTCAATTTTTTTTTTTTTTTTTGCAGATTGTCTTTTAGTTAAATATCGAGCTCGTGTTGGTTAAACGACAGTTAAACGTTGTTCGAAAAATCGTGCGTGTACGTTCGATCTAGGATAGAACTCTATTTATCCATCCGGAGAGCAAACAATTCACGCAATTGAGATCCGTACGATAAAAGTTTCACTGATTTCCCGTATCCGCGATTTTTCGCGAGAGTTCGCTTTTGGGACGAGTGAGTTTCGATCAGCGATCAGTTCGTTTAATCCGGCACTAATTAAAATTTCAAATCGCTCGAATACACGTGATTCATACGAGGAGAGGTTCCGCTGTAATGGCTCGCATGCGGATAAATGAAGCGAACGGGCATGGGCTCGGTTTAATCGGGCACTAATCAAAATTTCGTTCGAATAAATGGAGTTTCGGACAAATAGAGTTCCATTACACCATTTCGCCAAAAGCCGAAAAACATCTTTTTCCTCTTAGCAAAAGCGGCCCCGGCCGTTTCGAGTTCGGCGGCCGCGTTTTTCGCGCAACCGCGACTCGTGCAGATGCGCGATAGATAGCCGATTCCAAGTAAAAACTTTCCGGTCTTCCTCTCGTTCCGTTCGTTGATTAAAGGCTATTACTTACTCGGTAGTCGTGCAAGCTCGACAAGTCGACCCGTTTTCTTTGAACGCGAAGCGAGAACCGGCAAAGTGGTGGTCCTCTACTTTTCCGCGCCACCCCTCTTTCTCTGTTCCTCTTTCTTCCACCGATTTCTTCGCCCCCCTTTTTCTTCCATTGTGCCCGTTCGCCACGATTCGATCTCCCTCTTTTACCCACCTTCAACTTTGCCAGACGGACTCGAATTTCCACAGCACGGTCCAGCACTTGCACCTTTTCCCTCCTCTCTTCTTTCTCTTTTAGCGCCTTCCTTCTACCATTCCGTTTCTTCCACTCTCGTGTCTCCACCTCAGCTCCACCTCGGCCCTCCTCTTTTTCTTATATCACATTCGCCCTCGGTGCCTCCCCATCCTCGTTTTCGCTTTTAGCCCCACCGCCCTCGCTCTCTGCACTTGGCAACCCTCCCCGCCTCCAACCGTCCTTCTCTAGGCCACCGACGTTGAACCACCCCCCGACGACGACCTCTTCAAAACTCGCTACACGCGCAACACTTTACCAAATGAGTTCTAATTCATGCCACGTTTCTTCCCTCTTCCACCTGTCCTCTCTGCTCATTCTCTCTTACTCTCTCACTCTCACTCACACACATACACACACACAAATTATCTCTCTCTTTCTCTCTCTCTCTTCCTTCGTCTCGCCCCTTTTTCTTTGAAGTCTCCTAGACTCTCCGCTACTCCTCGACTTCCCGCTTCTTCCACTCATCGACGAAGGCGCCGCTGCTGTTCATTTAGTGGTTCACCCCCAGTCGCTCGCTCACCCTCCACTCGCTTTTCATACGCGCGCGTTTATGAATCGCGTTGTCGTCCACGCGGTTCGACGCTGTTCGGCTCGTCTATCGTCGATCGACTCGAAGTCACCCTTTTCTTCGTTCTCACTCATCTTACTTTGCTACTGTTTGTGATTAATTCTTCACTATTTAGTTCTTCACCGTTCGATTATTATTTCGTTCGTCCTATCTTCTATGGTTTATCTGCTTGTTCCTAGCAAACGACTCGAATTTCGTTGCCCTGTCTGACTTGTTTTTGTCGTTCTTTTCTCTTCAAAAACGTGTCGCCAGAACGTAAAGAAGCATTGTACCGTTTCTTCCACCGAATTTACTAATTTCCTTAGTGTCCTTAGTGTACGTCGTGGTGCATCGAGACCGAAAGAATGGAACCGCGATCGCTTCGCGCGATAGCAACTGGAAGATTCTCGCGACTCTGGAACAACGGGATTCCAGCTTGATCGACGCTCGACGCTCGACAGTCGAAGTTTCCGGATTAGCCGACGCGATTCCCCAATCGCTCTCCAGCTCGCGGATCGATATCGAATCCGTTGGCCGAATTCCGTGTAACGCGGTTATTTCAATCTCGCAACGTCCCCGGGACGCCCTCAAGCAGCGTTGAAAAAAGCGGGAGGAGCGAAACGTTGTCTCTCGAACAACGCGGCTCGGCTTCCATTCGAAGCGGAAACGGCCGTCGCTGTAACCAGGCTACGGGCCGTACCAGGATACTCCGTGAATCACGGTGGTTTCCTGTAACATGGTTTAGAATTCGAGCAATTTCTGGAACGTCGTTAATCCAGCATCGAATGCGGCAACGATGTTTAGCGGAGGAAACTGGGAAGGCTGTATCCGCGAGGAAACGGATCTCCTCCTCGTCTCGGTGGGTCTGTTTGCCTCGCGATAGCGAATCAATAGCACAGTTACGCTGTCCCTCGGCTTCGCTCTCATTATTCGTGAAACCGAGTCTTCGACTTCTGTCGACCTTGCCTCTCGTAATAATCGTCCCGAGCGACGACGTGCCGTTTCGTCTACCAACTATCTCTCTCCGTTTCTCTCTCTTTCTGTCTCTCTATCTTTATCTCTGTCTCTGTTCCTGTCTCCGTTTCTCCGACCGTTTCGCCAATCCGTAGGAACGTCGAGGTTGTTTCTTCGTTCGCCACCTCTACCTCCCCCTCGGTACCCGGCGCGCGACAACCCCGGTTCTCAGGACCGCCCTCGGGAAATTTCGTTCGCTCGTCGCCTTCTGACACACATTCGGCCCCGGCTATCGCGTGTCCGCGAGCAACAAAAACA